ACCGACACACACCGACACACACCGACAAACACCGACACACACCGACACACACCGACACACACCGACACACACCGACACACACCGACACACACCGACACACACCGACACACACCGACACACACCGACACACACTGACACACACTGACACACACTGACACACACACCGACACACACACACACACACAGACACACACAGACACACACAGACACACACAGACACACACAGACACACACCGACACACACAGACACACACCGACACACACTGACACACACCGACACACACCGACACACACCGACACACACCGACACACACACACACCGACACACCGACACACACACACACACACACACACACACACACACACACACACACACACACACACACACACACACACCGACACACACCGACACACACCGACACACACCGACACACACCGACACACACCGACACACACCGACACACACCGACACACACCGACACACACCGACACACACCGACACACACCGACACACACCGACACACACCGACTCACACCGACACACACCGACACACACCGACACACACCGACACACACCGATACACACACACACACACCGACACACACCGACACACACCGACACACACCGACACACACCGACACACACCGACACACACCGACACACACCGACACACACCGACACACACCGACACACACCGACACACACCGACACACACCGACACACACACACCCACACCGACACACACACACAGACACACACAGACACACACAGACACACACAGACACACACAGACACACACAGACACACGCCGACACACACAGACACACACCGACACACACCGACACACACCGACACACACCGACACACACCGACACACACCGACACACACACACACACCGACACACACCGACACACACACACACACACACACACACATGCGGGTCATGCGGATCATGCACAATATGCACGTCATGCACACCATGCAGATCATGGACAACACCGTGCAGATGCGGTGCACACCATGCACACCATGCGGGTCATGCGCACCATCAGCACTAGCCAATTATGTGCAGCATGTATGCCAAGCGCTCTATGCACGCCGTGCACTTCATGATCGCCCCTACTGAGGCGCTCCAGGCTGAGTGTGGAGGAGGTGCGCCTTTTGGCTCAAGTGCTGCTCGAAGATGCGTGGCTTTGAGGCCTTGGCAAAAGCTCGGGCTACCGATTTCAGAACAGTAGAGGCGCTTGCCAGCCGCGTTCGTTTTCGTTCGTTTGCTTTTGTGTTTGTTTTTTTTGCGTTTTTGCAGGAGGATGAGGCAAGAGCCAAAGAGCGAGCTGAGAAGCGACAGCCCCCGGCTGTGCGGCTCGGTCGCCAAGCCCGCGGAGGTTTCCGTGTCAATCGAATCGGATGCATCGCAGGCAGTCTCCCAGCCTGGGCCTTGGCCTTCCGGGCCTTCCGGGCCTTCCGGGCCTTCCGGGCCTTCCGGGCCTTCCGGGCCTTCCGGGCCTTCCGGGCCTTCCGGGCTCGGACTTCGGGATGTCGAATTGCGGGTCAGGTCGTGAGCCGCCACAAAGGACTCGGAGTCTCACATTCGCGCATTGGCACATTCGCGCATTTGCGCTTTTCCAGGAACGGCGCCCAGGTGCTGCTGGCCAGCCTGCTGGAGGCGATGGATCCCTTTCCTTGCGTTTCGGATTTTGTTTCCGTGACGCTGTGACTCCATTTCTCCATTTTTTCCATCCTTCAGGCGGCCAGGGAGGAGGGCCGTGTGGGGGCCGTGGCCCCAGACGTGCTGAGAGCGGAGAGAGTGGAGAGCGAGAGCGGAGGCGACGCAGCAGATCCGCATCCAGCGCCTCAGAAAACGGAGCAAAGGAGACTTTTAAGACTCGGAGGACTCGGAGGACTCGGAAGACTCGAAATTCGAGAATCGAAGGCTTGAAGTGCGGAAGTGTGGGCCATTCTATGGATCAGGAATCGGTCTCGCGGCTTCGGGATTAGGTGCCCCTTCTGCAATGCTGTGAACGCGGCCCGTGCATCCGAGCGTCATCGGGCGGGAGCCCAAAGTTCACCCCGACCTCGACCGGGCTCTCTTTGCCGTTTGGATGCTCCCCCAAAAAGCCTTCAGCCTTTCGAGCGACGCCGTTGCATTTCCGGGCAAGGTCATTTGCGGAGCCTGCCGCAGTGTCTTTGCCGTCCCCAGTTTGCGGTGAAGCGGGGGAACAAAATCGGGACCGTGTCCGAAGTTGCAGCTGTGCGTAGTAGCTTGCCACTGTCTTTCTTTGGATCCAAAGGCATAGGCGCTTCAATACAGGTAGTGGGGCAATATTGCAACAATCCTTTGGCGTAGTCCAAAGAGTGCCCCAAGCTTGGCACACTTTCCTGATGGCAACTTGAACAAGCGCCCACACCTACTCAGAATTGGTACTGTACTCGCGCGCCATGGAGAGTGAGGCGCGTTGCGTTCGAATGCTCCCTCATGGCACAAGTGGCACAAGTGGCACAAGTGGCACAAGTGGCACAAGTGGCACGGTGCAGGTGAGGAATGGACACATGCAGGTGCGTTTGACGTGCGTTTGACGTGCGTTTGACGTGCGTTTGACGTGTGTCCGACGTGTCTGTGCGCTTGACGTGTGTCGTGAGGACACGCTGGTCCTGCGGAGCAGAAGGAGCTCGCCGCAGCTGAACCCCCGCGCGCAGTCGCTGCAGCTGCTGGACGCCGAGGAGGCGGAGATTTTTATTTGATCGGAATTCGACGGAATTCGAATCGCATTCGGAGTCCGAAGTTCGCCAGGCAGTGATTCCCTCGTCACTGCGTGGCCGCATCAACAGCTTTAGTCCACCGTGCGCCGGACATCGCAATCGCGGGCGGTTTTTTTTGTGCTTGCAGCTTGCGAACGGCAGTTTGTGGCCCAAGTCAGGCAACTCGGCGAAGGGAATTGGAGCTGCAAATCAGGATCTGAATATGTTGGATAATTACTTACGTTGACCCGTGTCGCTTGAGTCGCAATGCGCATTACTGTGCGGTCACTCAATGGAGTCTTGTCCTCAGCCCAATCGTCCGCAGTCAATGCGACTTTTTAAATTTCGAGTATTTCGAGAGGAAGCTGCAGAGCTGGACGTGGATCCGGACACGACCATGTTGGGCCTCCGCCAGGCTGTACAGGCTGGATGGAGTGGGATTTGAGGGACGATGTTTTGCCTCTGTTTTGCATTTGTTTTGCATCTGTTTTTCCGCTTTGCAATTGTATGAGTTGATAGGACTTTCCGTCTTTCCGGTTTGGATCTGTTTTGCCGTTTGCGTTTCTTTGCTCCTTGCTTTTGGTCCGCCAGGCGGCCTTGAGCATTCCGGCCCCGGAGCAGCGGCTCATCTATGCCGGCACCCAGTCCGGCACCCAAAATGAGAGAGGAATGAGATAATATAGAAAAATAATATTTTCGATAATATAGAATAGTATAAGAATATATTAGAATAATAATTTTGAATGAGATGAGAAGCAGAGCATGCAAAGGTGCGTACAGTCGAGTCCAACTCTACGGATAGCCAGCGGATGTGCGAGCCTTTCGTGGCGCTATGTCGAAGCGACTGTTGGAAGTGGCACAAACGCCTTTTCGCCTTAGTGTTTCGTGGTAGGCCTGAATTCTCGATCGCGACGCCGTGTGATCACGGGGTGTTCGCTAGTGCAATATCTTTTGCGCGAGATGTGTGGGCCTTCGCCTCGCCATGCGCACCAAGCAGATCGAAGGAGTCCGATCGGACTCCTGCGCTTCGCCCTTCCCTCGCCTTCAGCGTTTCCAAAACGTTTCCTGAGCGCCGTTTTCGATTTTGCCGGGGCCGACCGGGCGGACCGGGCGGACCGGGCGGACCGGGGTGCCGGGCGGAGGCTGGAAGAGTTCGTGACTCCGGCGTGGCGCGCCCGCAGAAGCTCCGGAGGCCTCTCGAGGGAAGGCTCTCGAGGGATCCCTGGCCGGTTGTTGGTTTCCGTTTTTTTCGGTCGGATTCCGTTTTCGTTTCCAATCCTTACCTTCCCGCTTTCCGTTTTTCCGTGCGCTTTCTTTCCAGCCCTGGCTGCTGCCCTGAACCTGGACAAGCTCCCAGACGGGACGCCCTTGACCTTGGAGCTGGGCTGCCCGGGTTGAGTCAAGCGAGTCCGTTTGCCCAGCCGCACCGATCGCCTAAGGCACTACGGCATCCAGAAGGTGGAAGACTGACCGTGAAACCGTGACGCGAAAGACATTTGAAGCATTCTGAAAAATCAATCTGAATGCAACTTTGGCAGGGCTCCGTCCTGAATGTGGTGCGCAAAGTTGCATCGGCGACGGGTGCTTGCTGTGGAGAGAGGGAGGAAAGTGAGAGAGAGAGAGAGAGAGCCCATTGGAGCAAACACGAATGCTGCACTCCGCAGGAGCGACCCGGTCTTGACGGCACAATTGCGACACCCTTTGGGTGCTTTCATTGCAGTCAATCTGCGTCTGCGCTGAGGCGTTTGATCGCACGCCTGGCGCGCCTGCAAGGCTCAAAGAGACACTTTGAGACTTTTGTCTCTAACATTCTTTATTTTCTGGTTTTGTTTTCATCTCACTCAATGTGCGGTTGCCTTTGCCCTCCATGAAGTGAGGTTAGACGCACCCATCTCACGCGTACCGTTGCACTTTGCAGCGCTTTGCAGCGCTTGCAGGCCGTTGGCGCAGCTTGAGGCCCTGAACGACCTGGAGCTGCTTGTGTTGCTGAGGCGACTGAAGGGCACTCGGACACGTGGGCACGACGGGCCGCATGCGCCGCATGGGCCGCGCGGTTGGAGGGCTCAAGGCCCGAGCAATGTCGGGAGATGGCTGGATCCGGAGGAGAGCTTGCTGTGAGAGAAAAGAAAGTGAAAGAACGCAAAACACTTGAGGAGGTTTGGAGAAAAAGAGAGCTTTGGAGGGAGCCGCCCGAGGACCTGAGCCGCCCACGCCCGCGGACGCGCCTGCAACAGACAGGAGCGGTGTCGCGCCGTCGGCCAGTGTCCTTTGGCTTTTGTTTCGCGCGTGTGAGTCAGATCAAGAGAGATATGCTTGTGAGCATGATTCTCGAATATACATGAAACAGACGAGGGTGAGTCCTTGCGGCCACGAGATTTCACCCACAAACCACCTGAGATGTGGGTTAGTTACTAGTTGGTTCAGCGGCTTTTGTCTCCGGACTGTCCGTTTCCATAAGGCTTTCAAGGAAGACGAAGGTAACAAAGAAACACATTCATCTAAAAGAAAGCAGCTCTTCATGTTCTGTCATTTTTAGTTTCTTCGCGTTTCTTTCATTTTGATTCAGACAACGCCGCTTCGAACACGTCACTTCGAGTTCTTTCGGGAAACATAAGGACGTGTCAACTCCTTAACTCATTCTTTTCTCATCGTTTTTCCTTCTCATTTTTCATAACTTTTCTTTCAATCATTCTATTTATCTATTTATCTTTCTTCTTTTCTCAGGAGTGTGCCGATGGCCAAGGACCTTTCCGAGGGGCTGCTCGGTGCAACCTTTCGACCCGTTAGGACTGGGACTTCTCCGTGACGGGCCTTGCAGCCTCGGGCTTTCAGGAGCTTTAACTCAATGAATCAACGACGCTTATCCGATTCTTATCCGATTCTTATCCGATTCTTTTCCGATTCTTTTCCGACTCTTCGACTCTTCGACTTCTTTTTCTCGACTTGCCGGAGGCAGTGGAGTTCTGCGGCCTCCCTGCACAGCCCTGAGATTTTGTGCCATCCGCCTAAGGCACTCGTTCAAGGCGGAACCTGAAGTGAGCCTTTCATTTTCCCGAGGCCTTTTGATTCGGGCAGAGGTAACATTTCAACGCGAGGAAAGACTGTTCGTTTTTTACTCAATCCCGCATTTTGTTCGTCATCCTGTTTTTTGCATGAGGTGCTTTTTCCCGAAAGCATTGCGAAGGGTTCTTCCGTGCGGAGCTCTTGGTCAACTTACGCAGAGTAGCTTGCACAGAGTCACCAGCATGGAGATACCAGCATGGAGATACTCGCGCAGAGTTACTAGCACAGAGTAGCTTGCACAGAGTTACCAGCATGGAGATACTTGCACAGAGTCACCAGCATGGAGGTACCTGCATGGAGATACTTGCGCAGAGTCACCAGCATAGAGTTACTTGCGCAGAGCCAAGTGCAAAGAGCCAAGCGCGTAGAGCCAAGTGCTCAGAGCGAAGTGCAAAGAGCGAGGCGCAAGGTGCCAAGTGCACAGAGCTAAGTGCACAGAGTCAAGTGCAAAGAGCGAAGTGCATCGAGCCAGGTGCATAGAGCCAAGTGCATAGAGCTAGGTGCATTGAGCTAAGCCAAGCTGGGTGTAGAGGCTCGGCGTCAGCAGCTGTGTAAGCTAGGTTAAGTAAGTTAGGTTAAGTACTTAACGCGCGGGAAAGAAAGAGAAAGAGCTCGGCATAAAGAATCGATCGGGAATGCGATCCTCTGCGGCGCCCGGATGAAACCTCTGCGGGGATCGGCGCGGTCGAGGTGCAAGTCTTTACGTTTTTTGATATGCCCGCGCGACCCTCTGCGGAGATCGGCGTGGTCGAGGTGCACAAACGAGGTTTTTGCGCGTCGGCGAACCCTCTGCGGAGATCGTGCGTGTCGAAGCGCTCTCGCTGTGGCGCCGTGCGATTTTGTTGCTCGCGAAATGTCTTGTGGTTTGCGCGCCTGCTTTTGCAATCCCGCGGTCGCGGGTTCGATTCCCCTCTTGTCCGCGGCAGCTCCGGCTTGAAAATCGCAGCTTGTAAGTACAAACGTAGTACGCGGAGCGTGCTCCTGCAGCTCCGGCTGGAAAATCGGGAGCAGCTCCGGCTGGAAAATCGGAACTTTCAAGTACAAACGTAGTACGCGGAGCACACTCCCGCAGCTCCGGCTGGAAAATCGCAACTTTTAAGTACAAAAATAGTACGCGAAGTGCATTCCCACAGCTCCGGCAGCACTTGCGCAGAGCAACTTGCGCAGAGTCACTTGCGCAGAGCAACTTGCGCGGAGTCACTTGCGCAGAGCACTTGCACAAAGCACTTGCGCAGAGCAACTTGCACAGACCAATTTGCACAGAGCACATGCGCAAAGCGCTTGCACGGAGCAACTGGCGCAGAGCAGTTGCGCAGAGCAACTTGCACAGATCACTTGCATGCAGCAGCTTGCAGAGAGCAACTTGCGCGCAGCAGCCTGGAACAATGCAGCTTGCGCAGACCACTTTCGTGAGAAATCGCGCGGCGCAGCTTTGGACCCTTTCGCTTTGTGTCAGTTTGCGAAAAGCTGTGGCGGGTCATTATTGCTTACTGTTGGCCTTTGGCCATCTTTGAAAGAGAGAGGCAGAGACGTTAAAATCAAATTGTCAATCCCAAGTGCAAGTGATGTAGTTGTAACACGCAGATACAAGCAGCCTTTTATCCGGCGCATGCCGTGCTGTAGTTCAGCATGGGCTCAAGGCCTTGAAGTGGGAAACGACGGTTTAGTCACGTAGTGGCTAGAAGCCTATACATGTAGTAACTCAATACTTCTGTATTTTGACACGCCCCTTTTGTTTGACGGTTATGCCAACAAACTGGGAGTTGTAGAACGGGGCTTGCCAACAGCAGTGATGGAGAACCGACTTGACTTCTCCAACTGTGCTTCTGGAGTTCTTGAAGCGCAATGTAGTGAAGAGGCTGAAGATTGGAGCGAGCTCAACATATCTTCAAGTCCACCTGTAGTTCGGAAATGGTCCTACTGATGTATTCAGATGGTCGTGGTCAATCTCTGAAGGTTATAACGGTGGAAAACATGTGCAAGGTGTAGTCCCGAGTGAACTGCACCATGGAGTTCGAGTTGAGGTGGTCCATCAGCAG